TATGCTATGCTGGGCTATGCTATTATATGTTGTGCTGCGCTATGCTATGCTACGCTATGCTATGATATGCTGTGCTCTGCTATGCTAAAGCTCAGCAAAGCTAAGATGAAGGTAAGCTAAGCTAAGATAAACCTGAGCTAAGATGAAGCTAAGCTAAGCTAAGGTAAAAAAAAAAAAAAAAAAAAAACTAAGCTAAGATGAGATAAGCAACGCTAAGCTAAGGGGACGTAACTGGGGGAACCGCGGGGCGGATGCCGGGGGAACCGCCCGGGGCGTTATCCACTGCCCGGCCCTTTAAGCCAAGAGGGTAAGAACCCTTCTAGACAGAGCCTAGGTAGGGAGTAGACATAACCGTCTGACAGTCTGCGTAGATTTCGTGGATCTGCGCTGGATCCCCCAGGCGGCGCCTCCGGCGCCGCCACCGGAGCGCTCCGCGCGCCAGGGAAGAGGATCCAGCGCAGATCGAAGAAATCCGCGCGGACCGTCAAAACTTTATGTCTACGCCGAGCAACGTTCCTGACCGTAAGAGAAAGTAAACCTCATGGGGAGGCTCATGCCGGAGCCCAGACACCCGACGTCGTGGAAAAACACATCATTGCGACAACCATCACGACAACGATCAAAGACCATGCCGCTATGCATGACATGGTCTTTCGAGCAGGGCCGATCAGTGAGCGCCCGTTACTGAAGTCTCTGGAGCCTCTAGAGGCTTCAGAAAATCTCTAGGTGTCCCGAGGGTTCTCCGAGGGTCCCTGGAGGCATCTGGAAACCTCTGGCACGTTGAGGGGTACTGAATAGAATGCCAAGGGCTGTCCAGGGGGGGGGTTCTATCTTCCAGACTGCCAAGCCTGCCTACCCCTCTTCCAGAATGAGCTGCGTGCACCACCCCCTCTCCTGGGGCCATGGTCCCGCGCTCCCGAGGCCACGGTCCCTCGTACAAAAAAGCCTCCGGGGTGACCCCAGATGGCATCAGAAGATCAGAAGGCCCATCGATGGCCCAGGACTGTCCAAAGACGGCCCCACGACGGCCCCAAGAGACCTCTTACAGGGCCAAGATGACCTCCAGATGCTTCAAGACGGACCCGCGAGGGCCACAAGAGACCTTACACGGCCAAGATGACCTCCAGATGTTTCAAGACGGACCCACGAGGGCCACGAGACGGCCCAAGAGGGCGCCAGGGACCCCCAAAGAACTCCACACGCATCCACACACACGAGCAAACAACAGCCGCAAGACGGCCCAAATGAGCTCCATGAGAGCTCCTCCAGAAGTGACCGCGACAAGTATTACCATGTGACGGCCTTCGGTGCTCGAAGCTTTACCACCCAGCGGGCTGGGGTGGCACGGTGGCGGGACTTGCCACAGGCACCCGGCTAACCCCGACCATCGATTGCCTCTGCTTCTGAAGCTGCTTCTGCTCATGGCACCCGCATGCGAGGGAGGGCGCCACCACTTCTCTCGGCACGGGCTCCAAACATGTTGCCACGGCAAGGGGACCCTGAAGGACACAAGCCCTTGGCTCTGGGACCGATTTTTCCACACCCTGGGCGGTCTCTGGGCGGCCCCTGAGGCCTGGGAACAGAAAGCCGTAGCACCCCTTGCCCTCGAGGTCCCGCTCGTCTCTACTGCGAGCACAACTGACGCGCCCTAACTGGAGGCCTCCGACATGGGGCACGAGCACATGGGGTCGGAGGGTTGCGCCGCATCGCAGATGCATCGGCGACTACGGCGCTGCATCGGCGATGACGGGGTGGAGAAAACTCCAAATCCAGCCGCATCGCCGATGCATCGGCGATGAGGCGCGATCCGCCGACCCCATCTGCTCCAGCCCCGCTTGGACAACCTGGGTATCACGACCAGCGAGTCCTCAGATTTGGACGCCCGCAACGGGTACGAAACAAATGGGTAAGGTGCCCAGCAGCAAATGTTGCCTCAAACTGACGTCGGCCGCTGTTGGGCAGGCTACATGCGTCTCAGAGGGGTAAAATTAGCCTGGCGAAGAACCCAACCATATGCAGTTGTCAGTACCGCAACTGCGGGTTTCATCTTCAATGGAACTCCCCATAGGACTACGGAACGTGTGAGGGGTGTGCCGAGATGGGTGCCACTGGGGCATTCGGCGAAGCTCCCTATGGGGACATGAAACACGCGCGGGGCGTGCCGACATGGGTGGCGGAAACGCATGTGCGGGCCGCCACTGGGGCCTCCAGTGGAGCTCCCTATGGGTCCCCGAAACATGATGCTGCTGCGGGGGGGGGGCCGGGATGGGTGGCGGAGACGCATGTAAGCGCCGCTACTGGGGCCTTCGGTGGAGCTCCCGATGGGGCCACGAAGCGCGTGAGGGGCGTACTGGGATGTGTGGCGGGGACGCATGTGAGCGCCGCCACTAGGGCCTTCGGTGCAGCTCCCTATGGGGCCACGAAACGTGTGAGGGGTGTGCCGAATTGGGTGCGGGTGGTGACGCATGCGGGCGGTGCCACTGGGGCCTTCGGTGGAGCTCCCTATAGGCCACGAAACCTGTTCTTGTGAGGGGCGTGCCTGGATGGGTGGCGGGGACGCATGTGAGCGCGGCCGCTGGGGCCTTCGGTGGAGCTCCCTATGGGGCCACGAAACGTGTGAGGGGTGTGCCGAATTGGCTGGGTGTGGGTGACGCATGTGAGTGCCGCCACTGGGGCCTCTGGTGGATGATGGGGCCACGAAACCTGTCAGGGATGTGCCGAAATGGGTGTGCGGGACGCATGCGCATGTGAGCGCCGCCACTGGGGCGTTCGGTGGAGCTCCCTGTGGGGCCACGAAACGTGTGAGGGGTGTGCCGAAAAGAGGGGTGGAACCGCATGCGAGCGCAGACGCCGGGGCCTTCGGTGGAGCTCTCTATGGGGCCACGAAACGAGTGAGGGGTGTGCCGAAAAGGGGGGGTGGAACCGCATGCGAGCGCAGCCACTGGGGCATTCGGTGGAGCTCCCTATGGGGCCACGGAACGTGTGAGGGGTGTGCGAGAATGGCGGGTGGAACCGCATGCGAGCGCAGTCACTGGGGCGTTCGGTGGAGCTCCCTATGGAGCCACGAAACGTGTGAGGGGTGTGCCAGAATGAGGGGTGGAACCGCATGCGAGCGCAGCCACTAGGGACTTCGGTGGAGCTCCCTATGGGGCCACGAAGCGTGTGAGGGGTGTGCCAGAATTGGGGGTGGAACCGCATGCGAGCGCAGCCACTGGGGCCTTCGGTGGAGCTCCCTATGGAGCCACGAAACGTGTGAGGGGTGTGCCGAAATGGGGGGTGGAACCGCATGCGAGCGCAGCCACTGGGGCGTTCGGTGGAGCTCCCTGTGGGGCCACGAAACGTGTGAGGGGTGTGCCGAAAAGAGGGGTGGAACCGCATGCGAGCGCAGCCACTGGGGCCTTCGGTGGAGCTCCCTATGGGGCCACGAAACGTGTGAGGGGTGTGCCAGAATGGGGGTGGAACCGCATGCGAGCGCAGCCACTGGGGCGTTCGGTGGAGCTCCCTATGGAGCCACGAAACGTGTGAGGGGTGTGCCAGAATGGGGGTGGAACCGCATGCGAGCGCAGCCACTGGGGCCTTCGGTGGAGCTCCCTATGGGGCCACGAAACGTGTGAGGGGTGTGCCAGAATTGGGGGTGGAACCGCATGCGAGCGCAGCGCTGGGGCCTTCGGTGGAGCTCTCTATGGGGCCACGAAACGAGTGAGGGGTGTGCCGAAATGGGGGGGTGGAACCGCATGCGAGCGCAGCCACTGGGGCGTTCGGTGGAGCTCCCTATGGGGCCACGAAACGTGTGAGGGGTGTGCGAGAATGGGGGGTGGAACCGCATGCGAGCGCAGCCACTGGGGCGTTCGGTGGAGCTCCCTATGGAGCCACGAAACGTGTGAGGGGTGTGCCGAAATGTGGGGTGGAACCGCATGCGAGCGCAGCCACTGGGGCGGAGCTCCCTATGGTGTGAGGGGTGTGCCCCGCATGTGGGGCGGTGGACCACGAAAGGGGTGTGCCGAAATGTGAGGAAAAAGGAGGGTGGAACCGCATGCGAGCGCAGACTCTGGGGCCTTCGGTGGAGTTCTCTATGGGGCCACGGAACGTGTGATGGGTGTGCCGAAATGGGTGGGGTGGGGGTGGAACCGCATGCGAGCGCAGCCACTGGGGCCTTCGGTGGAGCTCCCTATGGGGCCACGAAACGTGTGAGGGGTGTGCCAGAATGGGGGGTGGAACCGCATGCGAGCGCAGCCACTGGGGCCTTCGGTGGAGCTCCCTATGGGGCCACGAAACGTATGAGGGGTGTGCCGAAATGGGGGGTGGAACCGCATGCGAGCGCAGCCACTGGGGCGTTCGATGGAGCTCCCTGTGGGGCCACGAAACGTGTGAGGGGTGTGCCGAAAAGGGGGGTGGAACCGCATGCGAACGCAGCCACTGGGGCCTTCGGTGGAGCTCCCGTTGGGGCCACGAAACGAGTGAGGGGTGTGCCGAAATGGGTGCAGGGGACACATGCTGATGATGATGATGATGATGATGATGATGATGATGATGATGATGATGATGATGATGATGATGATGATGATGATGATGGTAATGGTGATGGTGATGATGCGGAGGATGATGATAATTAAGATGATGCTGATTATGATGATGATGCTGATGATGATGAGGAGGAGGATGACAATGATGATGGTGGTGGCGATAACGGCGATGATGATGGCGATGATGGTGATGATGACGATGATGACGATGATGACGACGACGATGATGACGATGCCGATGACGACGATGATGGTGATGATGATGACGATGATGATGATGACGGGAGGAGGGAGGAGGGGGGAGGAGGAGGAGGAGAGGAGAGGAGGACGCGGGGCACCGTCTCTTCAAAACGAGGACCCAACACCACAAGATGGTTGGGAAAAAAAAACACTCCCGCGGCGCAACGGACAGCGAGCCCTGCTCAAAATGGACAGGAGCTGCCGTCGGGCTGCGTAACCATTATTTCCGTACCTATCCTACCGTGCCGAGAAGGCCCTCGCGCTCACCCCGCGATCCCGGGCCCCAGGCGGGGCTCCGAGGGCCCCGCGAACACCCCACACGTCTCGTTGAAGAACACCTGGTAGGCCTGCGGCGGGGAGCGCCGCCCGCGGCCGCGGCGGCGGCGCGGGGCCAGAGGCCTCTGTGCGTCTCCCGAGGCCTCTGCGTGCAAGAGGGAGGGGATGATGAGACGAGGCAGGGACAAATCCATGCCGACCGCCCGGGGAACCGACGTCCTGGGCCGCCAGCCAGCGGTGGGTATGGATATAGTCTGGCCCCAGCGGGCCCGAGCAATGCGAAACACAGGATCAGGAGAATTAGCATTGAAGAAATCTGGGCCAGCTTCCCGGACGTCTTGCCACCAAACAAGAAGAAGGGGGGCCCCTCTCCGAGGTCCGAACCAGGGGCCGTCGGCAGTGGCAGGCCGTCGTCGTCGTCGAGCAGATTGGTTCGGATCGAATCACGAGATCGGATCAGACACGGATCGGATCGCAGGCGAACCGTCTCGAAGCAGGCAGAGATCGGATCGCCGCGCCTGGCTCCAGCTGGCCCCGGCCCGTCCAGCCCTGGCCGGCGAACGGAACCGCATCGAATCGGATCGTGCGCATCTCCAGCAGGGCAGCGGGGGCGGGGGCAGCCGAGGACCGAGGATCGATGCTCTCCTCCCAGAGGCTTATCGTGGCCACGGCCGATCCCTCTCGAAGCTCTGGCCGTAACGCACCACAGGAGAAGGAAGTGTGGGGAGGGGAGGGCAATTCATAGAGGGGCGAAGGCGAAGCGAGGGCGAGGGTGAGGGGAGCAGCAGCAGCAGCAGCAGCAGCAGCAGCAGCAGCAGCAGCAGCGGCAGGACAGTGTCTGGGGGGGGGGGAGAAAGGAGAGGGGAGAAGGCGAGGAAGGAGGGAGAGGAAGGCGGCAGAAGGGAGGAGGGGGGGAACAGGAGTCAGGGGGAGGGAGGGGGGATGGAGGGATGAAGTTCGAAGGGAAGGCCAGACCAGGGAGGCAGAGACGAGGGAGGGCGGAGCCAGAAACTGGGCCAGGAGGGAGGGAGGGGCCGGCAGAGCGGGGGAGGGCACAGGAGGGGAGGAGGGAGCAGAGAACAGGGAGGAGGGGGAGAGGACAGAGGCGGGAGAGGGGCAGAAGGAGCAGGGAGGAGGGAGCAGGGAAGGGGGAAGGGGGAAGGGGAGCAGGAGGAAGTAGGGAGGATTGATGGATGGTGCGCGGCCCGAGGGACGCGCTGCGCGCGTCCCCCCCCCCCCCCCTCGGTTGCTCGGCCGCGGCACCGGCGGCAGCCATCACAGCCCCTGGCCAGGCGGGTCGACGCAGACCCTGGCAACGCTGCACAGCCCAGGCGAATTCCTCCCGAAAACGCCAGGTCGTCCTTCTCAAATCCTGCTGAATTCCTGCCTACTTCCTTCCGAGCGCTAGGCGTACCTGCCCAATTCCTGCTGAATGCCTTCCGAGCGCGTGGTTTTCAGCGTAGTTCCTGCAACCCAGGCGGCCTCTCACTTGCAGGGCGCCGGCGCTGCAGTGCGGCTCCGCTGGTTCCCCCCGGAGGAAAAGAGGGGAGCGAGAGGAGGGGGAGAGGAGGTGTGGCACATCTCAACGCGACGTCGCTCTGACCGTGCACCAGGGGGAACGCTTTGCTATGCTATCAATTCTGCATTCCTTTGCTCCGGGAGTGACTTAACTCCGAACCCGCCCTGCGTCAGGGCCGACTGTCATCGCCCTCGCCGTCGTCGTATTTGTCATCACAGCTATCGCCATCGGCTCGGGCGAGAGGAGGGGAGAGGAAGAGGCGTGGTCCATCCAAACGCCAGACTGCAGTGACGGCGCACAGGGATGGCACGCGCTGAGCGCTTCACAGGGGCATTTGTAAAGGATCGCGCAGGCAGCTGGCAGGATCCTGGTGCCGGGGCGGCTGCGGGCACCCACTCCTCGAACAAATCCTCCGCCGCCCCCTTCAGTTTCATGACCATCTCCCAGAGGTGGTTACATGAAGTTGAAAGGGGTGGAGGACGAAGAAGAGGAACAGAGGGAACAAGGAGAAGAGAAGAGGGATGATATGGAGAGGGAGACGACGGAGAGAGGGAGAAAAAAAGGGAAAGAGGAAAGCAGTGAGAGGGCGAAGAGACAGGGAGACGGAGGCGAGCCTCCGACTTCTTCTCGTCCTGCCCCTTCGCACCCTCGACGACGACGACGACGATGAGAGCCGACGAGAGCCGACGACGAAGAGAAACGACGCCGAACGACGCCGTCGAGCACAGAGGAAGGATAACGACGACGCCGAGCAGCGACTACGAACGACGACGACAGCGACGAACGACGACGAGACGACGACGACGACGACGATGACGACGACGACAAACGACTAAGACGACAACAACAACAACAACAACAACAACAACAACAACAACAACAACAACAACAACAACAACAACGACAACAACAACAACAACAACAACAACAACAACAACAACAACAACAACAACAACAACGACGACGACGACGACGACGACGACGACGAAGGCCGTCGACGAATGACCGCCACAACGGACGATACTTAGCGAAAACGACGAATGATAACGACCAACTACGCCGACGACAACGAACGCCAACTACGACGACGGCGCCGAGACGAGGGCGTGGCCTTCCCGATATCGGGGGTCTGTTCGTCCATGTTGACGCCCCACATGTGGTCGGCAGGGCGGTCGTAGTGGGCCAGCGGGAACAGCCCTCGCCCCCTTTCCCGCTTCACTCATATTCATCCTTCGTTCCCCACAACTACTGGTCCACCTCCTCCTTTTCCTCCTCCTCCCTCTTCCTCCTCGTCTTCCTACTCCTCGCCCTCATCAGCAGCATCACCGTCCACCCGACATCATCACGATCACAGTCATCACCCGCCCCATCATCATTAGTTTCATCATCACCGGTATCACCACCATCACCATCCTCATCATCATCCTCCTTGTCCTCATCCAAATCACCGTCCTCCCCCCGTCATACACATCTTCACCCTCCTACCCCATCCACATCCTCCTCACAATTTTCATCCTCATCATCATCAGTATCTGCATGAGATCCTACATTCGCTGTCCAAAAATAACACCCCATGTGTGAAGCGTGCGAGGAAACCTCCTCAAAGGGCGGCCAGGGGCTTCGGGGCGCAAGGGCGTTATCTCTGCCGCGCGGCCCCAGCGAGCCAAGAACGACAGATAGCTCTCAATCCGCCCAAAAGCTGTTCGCAAGGGCGGGGGGAAGGGAGAGAAAGTTGCAGACCACTTCCTTCAACGATCCGAACCGCTGTGCTCACGTGACCTCCGACACTCGTTTTCCAACGCACCCCACGCGCGAAGCGTGCGAGGGAAAGCTGGCCACAGGGCTGCCAGGGGCGTCGGGGCGAAGCGGCGCTGTCTCTCAAGGGGCCTCACAGGGCCCCAGCGACAGGGAGCTCTCAAACTGTTCAACAGCCGTTCGCACGGGTGGAGGGGAGGGCGAGCAAGCTGCAGACCACTTCCTTCAACGATCATAACCGCTGCGCGCACATAAACTCCGACGTTCGTTCTCTAGCGCGACCCACGCATGAAGCGCGCGAGGGAAAGCTGGCCGCAGGGCGGCCAGGGGCATCGGGAAGCAACGGCGCCGTCTCTCCCGCGCGGCCTCACAGAGTCCCAACGGCAGAAAGCTCTTAACCTGTTCCAACCTTATCATCGTTGCCGCGTCTTTGATATATGCGCCCCCCTGGGCACTTTGGCGACACGGCCACCAAGCACCCCATGCATGTGGAGCGAGTTGAGCAAGCTGCTGGACACGCTGACGGACGTCGGGCGCCACGCAGGCGAACGACAGCGCGGCCGCGCCAATCTGGAGACAAGGCCGTTGCATTCGCCCAGCGCCCACGGGACTACATCAGCCCCAGGTTCTGAAACGATCGAAGTGATGGGTGGCCCCGCCTCCCCCCAGCAACCCCAGGGCGCGCGGCGAGTCGAAGATGCCGATGAGGCTCTTGAGGTAGATGCAGGTTTAGATCATCCCTCGCAACTGTCCCGGGCACAACGCCGATCAAGGTCAGGATCATCGACTAGGACGCCCTGGAAAACTTGGCCCTAGATCTGATGTCTTAGCAGAGACCAGCACGAGCGCGTCTGCGTTGATATCGCCCCCCAGGCCCCCAGGACAGACGAGATGCTGCTCGAGGGCGTTCGCGACTTCGCTGGGCCGCAACAGCGAGTGGTCGGCGAAGAGTAGGCACGCTGCCGCCCCGCCCCATCCCTGCGCCTGAGCAGCCGGGGCCAGGGCCAGGAGCACATCCACAGGCATGGGCGCGCGCACCTCGACTGTCTCGAAGTTGCGACAGCGGGCAAGCACTGCCCAAGCAGGGCGCGGCTGGCCGCGGGCCTGGGGCCAGAGACAGTGCGACGAGCTGGAGTTGAGCAGCTCGACGCGACGAGCGACGTCGTCGGGGCGGGGCAGACCTCCACTTAGTCGAGCATGATGATGCACCGACGGGCCGCGGATGGCTCGATTGCCACTCGGGGGCCCCGCCGGCCCGCGAAGCCGCGCGCCGCGAGACTGCGACGAGGCGCGCAGGCGGGCCCCCCCTGGAAACCCGAGCCAGCTGCAGAAGATGCCTAGGAGCGTCAGCAGCGCAGCGAGCTTCAGCACGCGTCGAGCTGATCGGGCACCGCATCGCACCACTTGCTGTAATACACTGCTGCCGCCTCCGCCAAACGCCGCCAGACGCCGCCCTCGCAATTGATGCCGCCATCCAGATCGAGGCGCTGGCGGGCGCAGTCGCATCGCCTTGCCAGCGGAGGCGCGACGGGCCACCGCCATTCCAGGCGGAGGTCTCGTGCCAGCGCCCGCCCCGCACGCGCCAGCCCACGACGCGCTCGCAGAGCGGCCCCGCGAGGAGGGCCCCCCGGAGCTCCCTGGAGCTCCAGAAGCGCCCGCCGAAGATTGCCGAGGCTGCCCCCGCGCCCACAGGGCGCCCACGCGGTCGAGAGCCTTCGCGAGGCCCAGCCCCGCTTCCATGCCCTTGTTGCCCAAGATATCCACGAGGCGCCAACGAGGCCACCACGGCCGCTGGCGGGCCCGAGAGGACCACGAGCACGGGTTCATGAGCCGCGAGAAGGTCCTGCAGGAGGGGCCCAGGACGGCCGCCACTGGCCCGTCCCCCACGATGAACCCGACCCCTTGGGCAGGCACGTCGGGGCCCGCGAGATCCCCGAGCAGGCCATGCCGCGCGTCTCGGCCGATCACGATCTGGCCGCGGCGCCCCGGGGCGGCGCTGAGGGGGGCTTTCGGCCCGCTGGGGGCGCCGTAGAAAATAAGCGGTCGGCGGCCAGAGACAGCGGCGCGCGCTCGCGGCCCAGCCCCAAGCTCCTCGACGGCGGCAACCGACTCCACCACCTCGGGGCGACGCGGTTTGGCCTTGCGCATCTCGGCACCTCCCGCTGGGTCATCCGCAGAGTTGCGGGCACTCCGAGCGCGCGACGTGGGGAGGGGGACCCCTGCAAACGGGTGAGTCATGGCAAAGGCGCTGTTCAGGACCTTGCTGGGCGATCGCCCTTGAACAGCAGCGCTGTGCACAACCGGTGAGTCTGCGAGCAAGGGAACACGTTTGCCGCGCATGTCTGGGCCCTTGACCGCACGCTTGACCAGCGATCTAAGGGCGGCGGCCCCCAGCACATCAATGCGACGTCGGCCCGAGAACCAATGGCACAGCAGGGCGGTGAACAGCTAGGGCCCTCTCCACCACTGGAGCAGGGAGCCATCCCGGACCCCGCCCCGCAGGGCGTCGAGGGGCTCGCCGGGATCACGGGGCCCATCAGGCCGGGGCCTCACCGAGGCCGTCTGCCGAGGCGCCAGCGCGCCAATAGCCAGACCGCCCCCTTCACGTCGAGCGGGGCCCACGCGACGCCGCCGACGAAGAGGGCGGCGCCCGAGACGAAGACCCGCTCCGCCATCGCGGGGTCGAGCGAGCTCCTGAGCAGCGGGGACAGGAAGACCAGCCCTATCAGCTCGTCGGCACTGTATCCGGGAACCGGCGCAACGCCGCGGGGCCCGCGCTGTGCACGCGCATACACGCGTAGAGCTTATCCACGAGACACGTGGCGGCCCTGCGAAACACCAGACGGCGCGCCCAGCTCCCGACCAGCCTCCAGATGAGAGTGGCCGACGCGGCCCCGACGAGGACGACGCGCGCAGATCGCGCCGAGCTGTTTGGTCTCTAACTCCCCGTCTACGTGGAGATTCGCCGATGAAGCTCCCCCTCGGACAATTTGGCCGGGCCCGCCCAGGGTCGCCTTTTCCTCCTTTTCCTCGACGCCCGCGCGATCTCAAGCCCGGCGCCCTTGCCGGAGCGGCCGGGGAGCTGCCCGTCGAACTGGGCCCGAGGCGCGGGCCATCGCAGAGACCAACGGCGGTCGCCCGAGCAGACCTCTCCCGCGATTCGGCCCGATGGGGGGGGGGGGGGGGGGGGGCGACCATAGGCGGGCCCCCCCCCGCGTCATGGAGACGCCCTGCGGATCAAAGGCCATGCTGGATGCGCGATCTGAGCCGCCCCCGAAGCCTTTTGGCCCCCCGTGGCAAGAGCTGCCAGTTCCAGCGCAACCCCGCCGCGATCGCGCCAGCGGAGGTCGCCGACCGCGCAGGAACCCCCTTGCCCCAGCAGCTCGCCGGCCCCGAGGTCAAACCCAAGGATGGCATCCAGGACCCTGGCGCCCGGCCACGGCAGAAAGTGGGAGGAGGAGTCCTCGGCGTTGCCCATGGAGATTAACATGGGCCCGCTCTTCGCGAGGAACAGCTCTCTGCACTGCGCAGCGTGGGGCAGGGTGGCGGGACGCCCGAGGCAGGCGCGTTGGACGCGGCCCAGGCTGGCGCGGCCCCCGGCGGCGCCCCCGCCCCCGCTCTCGAGCGCGGTCTCGAGTGCCTCTGTCTCCTGCAAGTGGGCGACCGAGATCCGCGGGGCGCGCGAAGCCTCTCGCCGTCTGACCCAATCTGGGCCGGGAGCCTGAGAGCCCCGTGATCAGCCAGGCCGGCATCCAGGAGCCGTTCGCATTCACTGACTGCATGCTGCGTGGCCTTCAGCCGATCCCCGCTCCGAGGAGGTCGCGCTGCCGCGACCTGCGCGGCGCGGGGGGGGGGGGGCGCAAGCATCTCCCAGAAGCGCTCGTAGTCCTCGAGGCGCCGGAATCTGCCTCTGCCTGCCGCGGAGCGTCATGCTCCGCGGCGCGCCCGCGGGGTCGCAGCCGAGATCGGCGAATGCTGCGGCGTCGACGCGGGCAGTCCACCTCTGCGGTTCGCGCTCGATGGCCCCGTCGAGCGCCAGGGGGCTCTGCCGCCCCCTCGACACTGTGGATCCCGGCCACAGGGCCCGCCTCTCGGGCGCTCGAGGCTGCGCCCCCGAAGAGGAGGTCGCCCAGACTGCCGCCCTAGACTCGCAAGGCGCGGGGGCGGGCCGCGCCCCCAGGAGCTGAGCCGCCGTCCTGGGCGGCGCCGCGGGCGAGCTCTGGAATGGGATCTGCTCGTGACGTGGAGGGCAGGCGCCAGCGCGCTCGCCGGGGGGCCCGCCGGGGGGAGCGACCACGGAGCGGCGGGGGAGGGGGGGGGCGCCGCAGCGGGCCTCCATGCTTCCCTTCTCGACCTGCTCGACTCGGCTCGAGAAGCCCTTCAGTCGGCCGCAGATGGCAACCAGCAGGTCGTGTTTGATGCGCCCGAGGACGCAGTGCACATTGTCGCGCGACAAGTTGACGCGCCTCGGGGTTGCGGTTGTCTTGGCGCTGCTCGCAGCAGGCCCCTGCCTCGCCGCGCGCCTCGCGCGGCCGGGCGCGGCCGGGCGGCCGGCGCGGGCCTTCCCGCGGGCGCGGCCAGCGGCGGCGTCACCCGACGACGGGGCAGCGCCTGGCGGGCGAGACCATTGGCCCCCCAGGCCCGCCAGGAGCGCGCCCAGGCTGCCCGCCACGCGAGCGCCACGCGGTCGACCTGCCCACTTCTGCGCGGCAGCCTTGCAGGCAGCGTCGACCTCCTCCCGCGCCCTCGCCGTCGTGCTCGTCGGAAACGAGGCATCTCTCCCAATCGATCCTTCCCTCGAAAGAGAGCTGGAAGCCGACGCGCCACAGGTCGCCCTGGAGCGCGGGGTCGGGGAACGCGACGGGCCGGAGCAGGATCCCGACGTTCCAATCGTCGGGCCGCGGGGCGAAACCGGCCAGCTCGAGCAGGTCCCGCTGCGCAGCCCAACTGGCTGAGTCGAAGAACTCGATCACCTCGCGCCCCCCGCGCAGGCCTCGGTGAATCGCGCCGAGCACGCCGGCGAGACCTTCGCGCAGGCCAAGCCTGCCGGCATCTCCTCGCCCAGGGCCGACCGCAACGCCACCGAGACATAGTCTACGGAGGCGAGCGAGACGGCGTCGCAAGGGAGGTAGGCGGCAGGCACCACGATAAAGAGCTCCTCCAGCACGAGGTCGATGAGGTCGTCCTTCGCGAGGGCCGCGACGCCGACGGGACCAGCGAGCCGCGCGAACTTGGCGCCGACGACCCGGGCCTCGCACCTAGCTGCCGCGCCAGCGGCGCGGGCCCTGGCTATAAGCAGCTCGAGCAGCCACGAGCGGAGCAGGACGTCCCCTGTCTGCTGCAACGCCCCAGATGGCAACATCGTCATTGTGCATCGGTCCAGTCGAAGACTTCTACGGTGTATGAGTAGCCCCGCTGCTCGTCAAACAGCTCGTCGATTGCCTCGCCCAACGACGGGAAGCGACGCAGGCGATCCCGCCCGCTAGCGTACTTGCCGTTCCGAGTCTGGCGACCATTGCCTGCCACGCGACCGCGCCTCCCCTGTGCACCCCGACGGGTCCTCATTCGAACCCGGGGCGGCCCAGATCGCGTAGCAGTGGATGCCATCGGCAGGGGCGGCCCGAACCACAGGTTCGGCACGTCACCGCTGTGTTCGCATCACCCTCAACATCAACATCATCAGCATCATCATCATCATCATCATCATCATCATCATCATCATCATCATCATCATCATCATCAATATCGTCATCATCAGCATCATCATCATCATCATCATCATCATCGCCGTCATCGTTATGATCACCGTCGGCCTCTTAGTCGCAATGATACACTGGTAATCCTCACCTTTTGGCGATCAACATCATCAGCACCTCCATCATCATCAGCGCAACCATCATCATCGTAATCGTCGTCGTCGCCGTAGTCGTCATCATCAGCATCAGAAGTAGCAGTTTCATCGTTATCGTCGTCGCCATCACCAGCGCATCCACCATATAATTTGATGGCACTAGCATCATAGGCGACACAAGATGTGGACGGTATCATTTCAATCCTCGTCATCACCACCATCCTCATCCTCGTCATATTTACGGATTGCCCTCTCATCATTATTCACACTACCACCGTCAGCATTATTACAATCATAGTCAGAACAAGCAACATCAGCACAGCTACCTAATATTATCTCCGTAGCCTGGCTCATCAACATCATCGTCACCATCATCAGCATCAGCATCATAATCACCAGCATCATCATCACCAGCAGCAGCATCATCAGCATCAGCATCATCATTATCGTCACCATCCCATCATCATCATCATCATCAGCATGGTCATCGCCATCGCCGGCATCTGCCACCACAACAAGTCATCCTCATCACCATCGTCTTCACCAACAGCAGCATCGCAGTCCCGATCGTCATCCTCACCATCATCATCATCAGCATCATCATCATCAGCATCATCATCATGATCCTCATCATCGCCATCACCATTGTCATCGAGCTGCCGCTGGTCGTGCTTCTCCTCCTCCTCCTCCTCCTCCTCCTCCTCCTCCTCCTCCTCCTCCGCTTATTTCACCCTCTCCTCCTCTTCCTCCCTCCCCCTCTTCCGCCTTCCCCTTCTCCTTGTCTTGAAACATGTTCATCCCTCCTCTCCCTCCTTCCCCTCCTTGCCTCCGATTCCTCCCTCCGCACATTGACGAGCGAGATCAGGATATGCCGCCCCAGATCCCAACAATCCCCTCCTGCTCCTCCTCATCCATATCCTGCTCACGCTCCTTACCCTCGTCCTCCTCCACGCAATCCGTGTCTTCCGCCTCATCAATCTCCGCCTTGTGACAAGCTCGAGAGAGGTCAAACACATTCACAAGCATCGATCCTCGAACATCCAGGATCGAGGGTCGCCCGACCAAAATCTGCTCAAGGCCATTTTCTCAATGCCTCCCCGGGCCCATCCCCCGATCTGTCTTGGGCGATGCTTGGGGCCCGAAGCGGGGGCGTGCCGACAAACCTCGTTGACTCGTTGAGCCTCCGAACCTCGATCCTCTGTTCCCTTTCCCCCAGACCACCCTGGGATCCATCAAGGCAGGCTTTCCTCCTGGATCGATGTTTGGCGTCCCTGGACTCGTAGCGGGTCCAGATGCCGAAAGCGAAGCAAAACTTGTGGTGCGATTTCGTCGATCGCCTCGCCGAGGAGGAACGATGGGGGGGGCCGGTCAGGGGGGGAAACATCGACCTTGAAATCGGCGATACATCGCCACAGATCTGCGAAAGGCCCTCGATAGCGAAACCGCACGTTCCTGGGCGGGGCAGGCTATTGGGCCCCAGTCGGCGACGAATTGGCGATTGGGGGTCGATGCATCCCCTCCCCCCTGAGCCAGGCCCCCTAACGTTGCCCCGTGGTTTTCGGGTCCTGACTGGGCTCTCTGGCGGCCGTTCGGGACGATCCGTGGACCCCCGGAACGCCCTCGACGAGGCGCAGCCGCTGGAGAGCGTCCCGAGGCTGGAAAGCCGCCGAGAGCCAACGAAAACGCCCGAAAACCGCGATCGAACCTCGAATCCCACGCTGCCCCTGGCTCGCCTTTGAAGCGATCGACGTCCATGAGGAACTGGCGAGTGCTGACGACGCTGCCACCGTCCTGGCGAGGGGCAGGCGGGCACGGGGCTACGGGCCCTGCCTCGCGGGCGTGCGCCGTCTGTCAGGGGGAAGGGGAGGCAGGCAGGGAGGAGAAAGTGAAGGAGGAGGGACCAGTGTAAACCCAATACTCGTCAACGATGCTGGAATAAACCCTCCCTCCGAGCTCCTTCTTCAGAGGCCCTGACAAGGGTTCACTTCCACTGAGGGAGTTGCCTCGTTGGGAGGCCACCGTTTGAAGATACGGAAGCGTGCCAAAACACCATTCTCGGGACTCCAACGCCTGACTGTTGGTCTTGACGATCCCGAATCGCGCCAAAACACCATTCCTGGGACTTCAACACCGCGAATCAACTTAACTGTTGCATCCTCACAATCCGGAATCCCTCCAAAACACGGTCTCTGGTATGCTGACCATGGAAATCCGTGAAACTCTTGAATTTGTGTTCGACACGAGTGAGCGCGGCGCTAAGGCCAGAGCCACATTTTGGAAGCGGCCCGCCCTCAATTGGTGAAACTGCTGCCATGTGTTAAAACGAATGTGCGCGGCGCTGAGGCAAGCGCAACATGTTGAAAATTACCTGCCCTCAATCTGGTAAGCCCTTGCAAATTTCTAAACCGAGTGCGCGCGGCGCTGAGGCGAGAACCACATTTTGAAAACCACTCGCCCTCCATCCGCGAAGCTCTTACAAACTCGTACAAAGAACGTGCGCGGCGCTAAGGCGAGAGTCACATGTTTGAAGCGACCTGCCCTCAATTTGTGAGACTGTTGCCATTGTTTTAACTTCAGGGTCATAAATGGTCAGGAAGTCTCGGGCGAAACGCCCGGCCCGCCCTTTCGACGGGCCTCGGGGTGCGCAAGGGAAGAGCTATCGATCAGGAAAAGGAATGAAGGAGGAGGAGGAGGAAAGCGGAGGAGGAGGAGGAGTGCCCTGATGGAGGCCTCCCAGATGGGGTCCGAGAAGATGGGGTCGGAGGGTTGCGCCGCATCACCGATGCATCGCCAATGCATCGGCGAAATCGGCGATACATCAGCGCCGTCGGCGTGGAGAAACTCGAGCCCCAAATCGAGCCGCATCGCCGATGCATTGGAGATGCAGCACGATCTTCCGACTCCCTCAACTCGGAGCCCATCTGGGAAGCCTAGACCCAAGGAGTCCACACTCCACAATCGAGCACACATGCTGCTACTATGAGGAGTGCTGCTGCTACTGCGTTCGGGGTAACGGTTCAAGGTAACGCTGCCGGGTTTGGGCTGCTCGGTTCACCGGCAAGGGGGGTTCTTCATTGTCACTGAGGAGGAGCAGCAGCAGGAGGATTCTTCTTTACCCCTGAGGCCCTGGCGTCGGTACTTCTTCACGCGAGCGTGTCCGCCCCCGCCTGGGGACTGGGGCCTCGCAGATGTCGATCCAGCTCGAGACATGCCGCAGAGCGATCGGGTATAGGGCTCTGGTCGTAATGCTTCCCGATGTTCGACGCGTTCCGCGACGTCGGGTCTGATGGTTCCCCGCCGAAGCCAGCGATACAGTGAACCCGTATAGTAAGGAAAAGGATGCAAGGGTCGTGGAATGCCATGTCGACACTTTGCGAGCGGGGCGCGGCCAGCGAAAGCGGCCAAAGATTGGCCGAAAGGGAAGGATACCGGGGTAGCCTTGAAAGCTGCTCAGCCTTGCGATGCGGGCTGACTGCAGTTTGCAGATCGCATGGCGAGATCGGGCTCACAGCCACAAGGAGTGCATCGTGTTGTCGTCTCGGCCCCCGTTCCTCCAATGGCACGAGGTGTTATCTCCCTCCGCGACTCGCACATGCCACTGGTGATGTAGATCCTGCCTGCCTGCATCCCATCCTGCCTGCCTCCCTCCCTGCATGCCGCTGGCCTCCTTCCCTCCTTCCTCCCTGCTCCTGCTCATGTTCCTCCTTCTCCTGCTCCTCCTTCTCCTCCTCCTCTCCTCCTCCTCCTCCTCCTCCTCCTCCTCTTTACCCTTTCCCTCCCCCCGAGAGCGAGGTTGCTGTCCTTCGAGATCAGCCTCACGAGCTTCATCTTGCGGGCATCCTTCCTCTCGCCCGCGTTCCTCCGAGTAGCAGCAGCAGGAGGGTGCAGAAGAATCGGGCGGCTGCAAGAAATTACGAGGATGTGTTATGTTCACGGGTTTGCCAAGGGTCCCGAAAGTTGTCGGGCGCTCCCCTGTGGTTTTCGGAAGTTGATGGGCGTCGCTTTGTCTCTGGAGGTCCCAGACGAAAGGGAATATACGGGCGAAGAGAGCGAAGCGGAAGGGGGAGAGGAAGAGGAGGAGCAGAGATTCGGGCGCTGCGGTATTCAAAAGGCTAGGGTTCCATGAGGTTTCCAGAGGCGGCCATGCCGTTGGACGCAGAAAAAAACAAAACAAAAAATGAACTGGTCCCTATCGTCCTTCTTCTGGATGGGAGGTGGCTGGGTTCTGGGAGGTCCATCCTGGGGGGGGGGGGGGGGCGGAATGGTCGGTCGAAATATGGAAAGGTCGCACTCGAAAGGGGATCCCGCGCATTCCACGCAAACCCTCCTTCTCCTCCGCCTATTCCTTCTCCTTCTTCATCTCCTCCTCCTCCTCCTCCTCCTCCTCATCATCCTCCTCCTCGATCCTTGATCCTCAAGGAGCCACGCTTCATTCGAAGCCTGTGGAGGCCTCCCGAAAGAAACGAGAACATCCTGAGACCTCTTCCTCCTCCTCCACCTCTACCTCCTCCTAATTCTCCTCCACCTCCTCACTACTCAAGCTTGGCCTCTAGGGCTCCCTCGTCACCGCGATTTGACGCTGGTCGCAAAACGGGCCAGAATAGAGCCTGGGATGGGTCCTGCGAGCGATTTTGCATGATTTGTTCCCAGGCATCCAGCCCAGTCCTCCGCCTCTCCTTTTGCATTGCCATCGTCTATATGCCTCAGAGAAGGATTCGGCCAACTCGACGAAGCACCCAAACGGGCTCTGAATAGATCTCGATCAAAATTGGCACGACATAACTCATCCTCCTGCTCCTCGTCCAGCCCTTTCTCATGATACTCGTCCTCCTCCGTCTCCTCAGCATCATCAGCGTCGTCATCATCATCATCCTCCTCTCACTCGCCTCCGCCTCCACAGCCTCCTCCCCGCGACGACGATGCCGACGCCGACGCCGATGTCGATGCCGACACCGACGCCGCCGCCGCCGGCAGCGACGATGACGACGACGACGACGACGACGACGACGACGACGACGACGACTCGCATCCTTCTCTCCGCCTGACACGCGGCGCCCTCTGGGATCCGCCCCCCCCCCTTGGCGCGCGCGTCCAATTAGCATTGAAGGTCTCCGCGCGAACCGGGCGCTCGCTCCAGGGCCCGGTCTGGCGAGGGGGCGGGCGCGCGCGCGACGCGCATCGTCGTCCCCTCGGACGACGGCCAAGATGACGACGACGACGACGACGACGACGTTTCCCGTCCACATTGGGAAGCAACAGCAGTCCCGGCAGCAGCCGGAAAAAAATCATCCTGATGAAGAACCCAACCAGATGAAGCTGCGAGTGCCGCGAGGGAGATGAGACGAAGAAGGGGGGCGCGCAAACTCTGAGTAGCGCACGCCGTATAGCCTTCTGCCACGAAACGTGTGAAGGGTGTGCCGACACGAGTCGCGAGGACGCCTGCGAACGTCGCCATTGGGGCCTTCCGCGGAGCTCCATATGGGGCCACGAAACGTGTGAGGGATGTGCCGAAATTGGGCGGCGGTGCCATGCGAACGAGTACGAGTAGTAGTAGTAGTAGTAGTAGTAGTAGTAGTAGTAGTAGTAGTAGTAGTAGTCGTAGTAGTAGTAGTAGTAGTAGTAGTAGTAGTAGTAGTAGTAGTAGTAGTAGTAGTAGTAGTAGTAGTAGTAGTAGTAGTAGTAGTAGTAGTAGTAGTAGTAGTAGTTAGTAGTAGTAGTAGTAGTAGTAGTAGTAGTAGTAGTAGTAGTAGTAGTAGTAGTAGTAGTAGTAGTAGTAGTAGGTAGTAGTAGTAGTAGTAGTAGTAGTAGTAGTAGTAGTAGTAGTAGTAGTAGTAGTAGTAGTAGTAGTAGTAGTAGTAGTAGTAGTAGTAGTAGTAGTAGTAGTAGTAGTAGTAGTAGTAGTAGTAGCAGCAGCAGTGGCGGTGTTGGTAGTAGTGGAGGCAGTCGTACTAGTAATGGGGGTAAGGATAATAATAGTGGTGATTGCTAAAACGATAGCACGATGAAGTGTAGCAGCAGTAGTACGACTAGCAACAGCAGTAATATTGGTAGAATACGATCAAGCTCATGTAGATGTAAGTGTGCAATGGCAGGCCAAATATAAAAATACCTGCTACCGACGGCTTCAAACATATACAAAGACTGAAATGATCTTCCCACCCATACCATAACATGCTCTACTCTACTCCAGATTCACTCCACACTACCCCTACCCCAATCTGCTCGAGCGAATCATCCTCGACTCTGGTCTACGTTTCGCGAATATGCCATACTCGACTCACCCAGCTCGACCCGCTCAACTCTACTGTGCACAACTGCAGTATCCACTATCCTCTACTCCAACACAGTATAGCATAGCAGGCTCTACTCAACTATCTACCCTGCCCGTATCTACTCTACTCGACTCTACCCTACCCTATCTATTGTGCCCTACCCTTCTCCACCCTTGCCTGACTTACTCTGATCGAAAGTACCCTACCCCAATCCATTCATACTCGACTCCCCTCGACTCCCAGTCTTTTCCACTCTAATAGACTTCCATAGACTTTCCTCTACTCGACTCTACTCGACTACACTCTATTTTAAGCGAGTTCGTTTATGAAATCTACCCTATCATGCTCTAGCCTTCCCTGACCGACTTCTACTCTGATCCAGCGACGAAGGAGAAGCCTCCGAAACCAAAACGCCGACGTCGTCGGCCGCCGCCGGCCGCCGTCGTCGAAGCCAGGGCGGCGGGCACCACCGGCTTCCAGCCCTGCATCAGGCCGTTCATGCGCTCGTGGGGCGCGCTCCTCGCACGCGCGTGCGCGCGCGCCTACGACCCTCGCCGTCGCCGCCATCACCTCGTGATCCGTTTCCTCCTCCCCCCTGCTACACATCTCCTGCCGTCCAGTTCGTGTTTCCCCAACCCCTCCCTCTTCATCGTCCCCATCCTGCCCCCCATGGCCCTTCCCCCACCCCTCTGTTTCATCTTTCCTCTTCCATGTTTCTCTGACCCTCTCCCCCTCCCCCTCGTCCTCCTCCACCTCCTCCTCCTCCTCATCCTCCTCCTCCTCCCCCTCCTCCTCCTCCTCTTTCTCCTCATCCTCCTCCTCCGATCCTCCTCCTCCGATTCCTCATTCTCGCAGTCCTACCTTGTCCTCCTCCTCCTCCTCCTCCTCCTCCTCCTCCTCCTCCTCCTCACCCTCCGTATCCACCTCCTCCTCCTCTTCGTGATCATCATCATCATCATCATCATCATCATCGTCCTCATCATCATCATCAGCAGCATCATCATCATCATCACCATCATCACAGTCATCATCATCATCAACATTATTGTCATAATCATCGTCAGCAGCATCATCAACATCATCATCATGGGGCTGCGAGCCTGGCGAGATACAAACCACAGAGCCCTGAGGAGCCTGTTCGATTTTCCTGGCGAGGCGCCTGCGGAAATCTGTCTTCGAGAACAATGCATAGTCATCGCGATGAGACTGCGAGCGAGAGGCCGAGCAAACAAAATGAGGCACAGCGAAGCCTCCGCTCGAAAGATGTCCCTGCTACAAAAGACATTGAAGAGGGCGGCCGCGGGTGGGAGCCAAAAAGACTGCAGAGCGAAGCGAAGAGCAGAATGAACAAGCGTGGACGGCGACAAGCTGCTCTCTCTCTCTCTCGCTCTCTCTCTCTCTCTCTCTCTTTCTCTCTCTCTCTCTCTCTCTCTCTCTCTCTCTCTCTCTCTCTCTCTCTTTCTCTCTCTCCCCATGCCTGCGCGCGCACTCCTATGGGGCTGCGAGCCTGGCGAGATACAAACCACAGAGCACTGAGGAGCCTGTTCTATGTTCCTGGCGAGGCGCCTGCGGAAATCTGTCTTCGAGAACAATGCATAGTCATCGCGACGAGACTGCGAGCGAGAGGCCGAGCAAACAAAATGAGGCGCAGCGAAGCCTCCGCTCGAAAGATGCCCCAACCCATCCCGAAGCAGCAGTGGATGCGACTCAGGCTTGAAAGAATCTGGCTCGCAGAGGGGCCACAAGAGCACGGGCTAGCGCACGATTGAGCTGCTGTGGATACGACTGAGCTATATGCGTCCACCGTTGGCCACTCGGAGCTGGGCCTGACAATATAACGCGCTTGCAACCCGTTCGGCTACAAACGCCCCTGGCGCCCTGGCACTGCCGCGAAAAAACCCTCGAGATCCTGGACGGGAATGTTTCCGCACAGCAAAGTGGTGGGCTTTTTCCAGGGAGTACCAAACTGACAGAAATCTATCCTCAAAGGCGTCACCGAGGGGGAGGAGGCCAGGCGCTGGAACTCACGGGTTTAAAACATATAGCTGGCGCAAGGGTTCTCGAGAATCCACGGGGCACCAACGGCGTTACACTCGCGAATTATAGCAAGGGAAGCTCTACAACACTTGTTACCCTCCTTGAGTTTCATCCAGCCCTTTAAACTGACCTCCTTCCTTGAAAACCCCCACGGCCGAGACGAGGATCGGATGGGCGCTGTGCGAATGCGTGCAATACTAAAACTGCTGCATGGCGGCGCAATCATCGCCCCGAGACACCGACCTCGTCGAACGTCTGAGAGGAGCGTCCTTAAAAAACGCGGGCGGCAGTGAGGTCGCCGCGCTCTCCGCGCGCGATCCCCCAGGTCCGCGCCTGGAAGCCAAGCCGTCGCAAGGCTCTGGCGACTCCGCCCTGGCCAGCAAAGGTGTCTGCAACGCAAGTGTCCTGCATCACCTGCGCTCCGAACATGGGAGAGGCACGAGCCGCGCGTGGAGGACGGTCTCCGCGCCGCGAAGCTCGCACTCTCGAAAGTACGCCAGAAGCGCGGTCGGGTGGCGGTGAGACGAGTCGGACAGCCTCACGTGCTTCTTGTAACGAGCCACACTCTTGTTCGACCTCCACTGGCCCGCGCTCACCTCTGAAAGGGGGCGCTAGCCTCGCGCTCTGTCCACGCTCGGCCCGCTGCACCGCGTCTGGCAAGGCACGAGGTCGGGCGCCCCGATCACCGAAACGGCCATGACTGCGAACACAACCATCCGAGGGCGGCCGAGATGGCACATGGCGCTCACGAGCCCGCTCCACACGCCCAGCCCCTTCGGCTCGCGCGGGCGCCCTGGGCGCAGCTTCCGCCGGCCCTGCAGCGCCCTTCAGGCGCGGGGCAGCTTCAGAGAGCCCCTGCGCCCGTAGGCCGGGTGGAGGTGGATCCCGCCAGCCAGCGCCTTCGCCCCAGCGGACGGCTGCAAGCCCTTGAAGAAGCACGCCCCGAGGCATGACGCGAAAGCGGCGTCCACGGCGTCGGCCTCGGCGCGCCCCACGTTCAGGCCCCGCGCGGCTGCGAAGGTCCTGAAAGCCGCCACCTCGAAAGTGTACTCGAGATGGGCCTTGTCCGACACGAACCGTTTCTCGAGCAGAGTGATCCCGTCGCCCTCGGCCCTGAACTCCTCCTCGCGGTAGCTCCAGAGCCGCCGCCTCGAGCGCGTGCCCAGCGCCCTCTCTCGGCGAGCGGCCCGACCGGGGCCCTCTGACGCGGGCCCAGTGCTGGAGGAGCTCGAGGTGCGCTGCATCCGAGTGACGCGCTTCTCGACGTAGTCGCCTTTCCCCTTGCGATGAGGGGGTTCCCCCAACGATGATCACCCCGATGCGGCGGCGACGGGTCCGACGGGGACAGATGCGCAAAAACGATCTGTCCGCCGCACGGAACTATTGAGAAGTGATTGTAAAAAGTTGTGCGATGTGCGATGGGCGCGCCGTGGACAGCGAAGTTCAACCATGTGTGGCGCGCAATTTTTTCGGTGCGACGGCGACGGCGGGCGGCCAGACAGATGCACAGTACGTAACCAAGCACGTTCGCCGACGGTGCGACAGCGACCGGCGAGGCCGCGACAGATAGACAGTTCGTTGATTTCCGGAGAACTCCTAAGATAGACTGTGGGAAGGATGGGGAAGCCATTCTGCTTCACCCCTGGTGCCTTTGCAGGGCCGCTTGGGGCCGTTTCGCCTGAGACGTCGTCGCAACATGGAGACGTCGGCCCGAGAAAAGCCAACGTGGCCTTCACCATGCACACACATCTCTGCAGCGCACGCAATGGCCAACACACAATATAAAAATCCCACCAGCCCTTTGGGCGTGAGTGGTTTAAAGAGCCCTCTCTGTCCTCAACCCCCTTCTTCCCCTTGGGGGAGGGGTTTACCCCTCCCCCTACCCCCCCCCCCCCCCTGGGCCTGGAAGGGGCGTTTCGCGGGTCGTTGGGTCACCGAAGATGGCCTAAGATGGCGCCAAGAGGGCCCAAGAGAGCTCAAGGTGCGCGCGCTGGTGACCCGCGCGGGGCCGGGCCACCCGCGCGCGCGATGCATCCTGTATTGCTTTTATTCCATCGGAGGCCATGTTAAGGTGAAAACTCAATTGTCCAAACCCAATGTAAAAATTCATTCTCTGGGCCCAAGAGGCGGCCATATAAATGTGGGAAATATACAAGCCAATACAATATGCGAAGCGCGCGGGCGCGCTGGTGACCCGCGCGGTGCCGGGTCACCCGCGCGCGCGCGCGATGCCTCCTGCATTGGTTTTATACAATCGGAGGCCATGTTAAATTGAAAACTCAATGATCAAAACCCAATGTAAATATTCATTCTCTGGGCCCAAGAGGCGGCCATGCCAACGTCAAATATAAAAAAAACACACAAAACAATATGCGAGGCGAGCGCGGGCGCGCCGGTGACCCGCGCGGTGCCGGGTCACCCGCGCGCGCGCGCGATGCCTCCTGTGTTGGTTTTATACAATCGGAGGCCATGTTAATATGAAAACTCAATGATCAAAACCCAATGTAAATATTCATTCTCTGGGCCCAAGAGGCGGCCATGCCCACGTCAAATATAGAAAACACAATACAATGGGCGAGGCGAGCGCGGGCGCGCTGGCGACCCGCGCGGGGCTGGGTCATCCGCGCGCGCGCGCGCGATGCATCCTGTATTGGTTGTATACAATCGGAGGCCATGTTAAGGTGAAAACTCAATTGTCCAAACCCAATGTAAAAATTCATTCTCTGGGCCCAAGAGGCGGCCATATAAATGTGGGAAATATACAAACCAACACTATATGCGAAGCGCGCGGGCGCGCTGGTGACCCGCGCGGCGCCGGGTCACCCGCGCGCGCGCGCGATGCCTCCTGTATTGGTTTTATACAATCGGAGGCCATGTTAAGTTGAAAACTCAATGATCAAAACCCAATGTAAATATTCATTCTCTGGGCCCAAGAAGCGGCCATGCCCACGTCAAATATAGAAAACACAACACAATGGGCGAGGCGAGCGCGGGCGCGCTGGTGACCCGCGCGGTGCCGGGTCACCCGCACGCGCGCGCGATGCCTCCTGCATTGGTTTTACACAATCGGAGGCCATGTTAAGTTGAAAACTCAATGATCAAAACCCAATGTAAATATTCATTCTCTGGGCCCAAGAGGCGGCCATGCCAACGTCAAATATAGAAAACACAATACAATATGCGATGCGAGCGCGGGCGCGCTGGTGACCCGCGCGGGGCCGGGTCACCCGCGCGCGCGCGATGCATCCTGTATTGGTTTTAGACGATCGGAGGCCATGTTAAGTTGAAAATTCAATGATCAAACCCCAAGGTAAATATTCATTCTCGAGTCTCGAGGCCCAAGAGGCGGCCATGTAAACCTTGGCAGGTCTTAGCAGCATTTCCATTCCCCTTCGTTTGGGTAACTGGAAGAAATGGGCCGCCACCAATGGATAGACGCCCCCCGCCAGTCAAGCCGCGCCGAGGGTGCGACGGCGCCCGGGGGATGGGCAGATAGACGGACAGA